ATTGAGAAAGTGGTTTACACAGATACAATTTTTTATTACACAGGGTAACAAATTAAAAAAAATGGAAACAAGGTATTTGTTCTACAAGCAAGACTTTGCATTTCCAACGCAATTCCAAATAACTATGGCCTCTTCCCCATTCCAATTTCCATATCTGTAAAGTAAAGCATCAAGGAGGGCAGACCTACAGCCCATGGATTCAATTATATGAGCTAGAACCTTTAATGCACACAAAAGGAAGCGTTGCTTGACAGACTGCAACTGCCTAAACCAGGGCCTGAAATATACGAGATCCCCAATGATGAAAAATGAGCAGAATGAATCTCCTCTTATATTCTCTCTTCTTCCCATTCAATCAAAGTAAAATAGCATTCAAAGAACAAGATGCTTGGATAAAAGGACCCTGAAACCCCACTGGAGTGCTCCATATAGCAGTAAAGAACCTAGATTTTAAAAGTTAACACTTTTTTCTTTAGCTTTAACCAATCCAAAGCTTTCATACGTTCATTCATAAAATACATTACTCAATTAATACTATAGAGTATTAATGAAAGTATTAGTACCAATAATAAACCAAACCTAAGAAAACAGGTTTTGTATTAAAAATAGACAACAATAAAGTCACATCAAAACTAGTTTCTTCTTGGTTCTGACATGAACAGTAAGTGTCACAAATTGTGTTTCCAAGACTTAATAACCTAACTGTGCCTAATGTGGTGGCTCATATCTACTGTGCTAACACAGGAGGCTTAGATCTGAGGCCAACCTGGGTTATATAGGGTGACTCCATGTTGAAACAAAGAAACAACCCAACATGATTAAAGCCCAACAGGAGGAAGAAATTGAGCCAGAGGCAGGTGGATCTCTATGGGTTTAAGGACAATCTGTTCTCCAAAGCGAGTTCCAAGCCAGCGAGGGTTATTTAGTCAAACTCTGTCTCAATAAATAAATACATAAATAAATTAAGAGGGTAAAATTTGTAAGGAAAAGTTGAAACAAACCAAAGAAACAAACAACAAAACCCTAGATTTATCATACAATCGTTATTTAACTGAACAGTTAAGATTAAGATATAAGCTCAGGTTCATTTTTACAAAATGACTAGCAGCAGAAATAGGCTTTTCAGTGCATTTCTCATTTCTACTTAATACTCCCCCCCCGCCCCACAGCTACATCTAAGTTACTTATTAAAGAGGTACTCCAAAGGCAGGATACTTTCCTTACTTCAGGACAACCCTAGAGACTTGTCAGGTACATTCTGACTCTCCAACTTCATCATGCCCTGTTCCCAGCAACTAGCAACTCTTAGACATCTCATTCACAGCAGATTATCAGTATCTATACTCTAGGAGTTGATAAAGAATGTCCTGCTGTCTATTAAAAGGAAGCCTCACTGGAATCCCACCATAAGACCATAAGCAACTGCTACACATGATACCCGATGCTTTGTGCCTTTGGAGAAGAGCTAGGGAGTGTAACAGAGACTGACTCAGAAAAACAAACAAACAAACAAACAAATGGTGTTTTAACAGAAAAACAAGACATTTAGGCATTCTCTTTGCCCGGTGTGCTCATCAACACTCTCTTCTTTTGAGGGCCTGCTTATTCTTTAAGTCCCAGTTTAAACATTACCACGTCTTCAAATAGCCCTAACTTGACTCATTTAGCTACTCTATTATTCCTCCTCTATCATGTTGTATTTTTTTTAACTAGGCATGCTCATTTTATGAGCGGAGATCAGATATGTTCTATTTACCAATATATTCCTTACACTCAATTCAGAACCTGGCAAATAGAAATGCCTGGTATGTTGAATTCTGTCATGACAAACCACAGGATACTTCTGAGGCACTCACAAATTGGCATATAAAATTTCTTAAATACAGAAAGCATCAAGAGTATTTTTTCAGCCATGCTTTCAAAATTATTTGCTTTAGAAGACAGGGGAGAGAACAAGCCTGTGAGAAACTAAAGTGTTTATGCTTACTAAAATAAGACAGTATTTTTCTTATGGGAAGCACAAAGGCCTCGTGCCCTGTGTTCCCAAGCATCTCACTAAATTCTTTGGTCTCAGTTTCCTAACACAAAATATTCTGGTGACAATATACTACCAGCACTAGACAAGAGATAAATAGCACTTGGAGTGTTTGGTCTTTCTTCAAATCTAGAAACTTATTTCTTAAATTAATAATCAACTACTTTCATCCTGTCTTCTCTATAACATCTCTTTATCTACTCTCATCTATAATAAGAGTTTTAACCAAAAAAAAAAGTACTAAAAACTACATCCAAAAAAACAAAAAAGAGAAACAAACAAATCCTGACTCCATGTAAAAATTCAATTTCCTTTTAATTCTTCAATCTGAAAAAATGGGTCTTGATTATTTATACAATAGTATTAAAATAGTATTTATTGACGTTATGCAAATAGTTTGGGTAACTATGTGCAACAAGAAAATGAAATGCAATGAAATAATAGGTAATATTGCTTTCCATGAAGAATATAATTGTGTATTATATCATATTTAGCATTGCTGAAAAACATATTCACTAAACCAGTTGATTCTTCCTACATCCAGAGACAAATATTTTGAGCTATTATACACTGACCTCCCCTATCAACAGTTCTCTCTTGGCAGTGGCCCATTTGTATAGTGACATTATTTGAAGCTATTATTTTCCCTCTAGGAATAAGAGTGAATCTATCTTTAAAACAAAGAAATCGAAGATATTAGCAGAGGTTCAAAACTTAATTCATTTGACATACAGAACAACAAATGTGTGTAGTCATTAGACACCTCATTGGAAACAGCTGGTTAAGGGGGGAGGGGATAACATTTCAAATGCCTGGAGACATAAGATTATGTGTAAGAAGAAAATCCAGAATAGAATGTATATGCTTTCGAGTTTTTAAATTTAACATTTAGAATAATCAACATGAATACATGTCCTTAAGAACATACTGAGGGTAGAGTCTTCATGAACACAATTCTCTCTCTGCCATGGAAGATACAGAAAGGAAGAAGCTATGTGCAAACCAGCCAAACAGCCCTTCCCAGGAAATGCATCTACGGATATCTTAACATTTTGGACTATAAAGCATCTAGAGATGTGAAAAGTAGCTGTTTAAGCCATCTGGGACATGGTATTTGTGACAGCAGTCCAAGCTGAGGCAACAGTTATGGGACTGCATTAAGCCTAAAAATTCCCTTTAACATTTCTCATGGAGGTTTATTCTAATGACTTCATTATGTACTTAATCATATTGCAGAGTACAAAAATTATTCACTTACACAGTGACCTCATACTCTTGGTTCTCTTCTCCTTACTTTTTCCATGAGCCAATTTTCAAAATTCCTGATTGTAGATTTTTTTGAGTCTGTGGCCAAGTTACAAAGCATTGTTTAAAATAATAATAGTAATATTACAAATTGTACCTTTTAACTAAATAACTAAATAAAACCCTTCAGCAATTCCTTAGTATACAAGGACCATATCAAGTATCTTTTCTCATTTTCAAAAGACAGATTATTTAATTATTACATTCAAATAACCTGAAAGCCCCAGCCACTAGGGCTGGGCCTAATATACAAAAAAGTAATGATCATTACTGTCATTACTCCCTGACAAATGTTAACATAACTGTCCTAATTTATTTCTCCATCATTCTTGATTCCACAATCTAAGAACACCAAGTGTTCCAATCCTCCACCCTTCAATACTTTTAAGCAAAACACTCATCTTTCCTCTTTCTCATAATGTCTAAACTTCTTGAATTAATCTTCCTTATACCCAACAACTATCCATCTGTTTCCTCCTCAACATTTATCCCTTGATTCTGGTCACTTCATTCTCTGAAACATAATGCTTATTCCTCAGGACATAATACCAAATAACAAATCTCCACGACTAGTTCTGAGTGTTCAAGTTTATCTACAAACACATACTTGTATTTGAGGGTGTTACAACTCACAAGTAAAATGACTTCTTCTAAGGTATTTTCTAATGATAAAAACTGTCAATAACCTAAAACAAAACTTACCCCATCCTTTACCTGCTATAAATCACTTTTTATTCTGACATCACAGTACTCTTATTGGGTACACTACAATCTGAGATTGCCTTATTTCCAAAGCTCTAACATCATTTCCTCTTTTCCAGTCTATCCTTTTACTCAGATTTTCCAAGATAGTCTTCTGATTCTAATAAACACTCACCCAATTCTACATTTCATATCTCACCCTCAATATTTACAATCTCCAAACATTGTTATACTCTTTAAACCCTGCCACTGTTTAATTTAAATTCCTTAGTAAGGCAGTCAAATTTTCTTAATCTTTTCCTGTGCTCTTTGTTATACAATAATTCAATAATCACAAATTTATGTTCCTCAGTTAACATTCTCCTTTGCCCTAAGAGTAACCAGTTGTTCCTTTTTAAAACTGTATACTATTTGCTTTACTACAGTGCCTCCTACAGTGTTTGGATACGTCTCTTAATCTTTCTTTTAAAGACTGCACTAAATTTCCCTTTCTCATGAAACATTACAATTTAGGTTAACTTTTCTTTCACATAATACTTAAGCTATTATCACCTATGCAACTCATTTGCCATTTAATGTATGGGGGTTTCATACGATTACTAAAAGTACACCATCTCTCAACAACCCTAGACAGAGATCATATACACCGTCTGTGCATCTAAGTGCATTTTTTTAATTGAAAAGAAAGCACAGGTATGTAACAAAATTATGACTACATGATGAACATAATCCTATGAATGTTATGAAATCTCTCCACCCCACCTTCCAGAGAAAGAAATTCTAGAAGATGGACAGGAAGAGAAAGCTATTCTGCAACCCTACAGTGATGACTCATCAAGGAACCATCAATGAACACTGAAACCACCACACAGAAGCTTCTATAAGAATAGGACATTTATACAGTATCAAAATATCACTGAACAGATTACTTAGGAATTACAAAGGGAAAAAATGGTACCTTTACAGTGAAGAAATCTGGCGGACACCAAGTGATCAAAGTTAACATCACCAATAATGGGATAAACTGACAGCAAGTGCCTCCTGATGTGATGCACTGAGGACACAACATCACTTATGTATTATTCCTGCCAAAAATGCACAACCTGAAACTAGTCATGAGGAAACAATCAGACAAACCAAAAACTGAGGGACAATCTATAAATCAACTGACCTACAACCTTCAAAATTGCCAATGTGCAGGCAGACGAAAAGTCTGAGGAACTCAACGTGTGATCCTGGATGGGATCGTAGATCAGAAAAAGATTACTATAGAGGACATCACTGATACATAGGACAACCAGTAAGATCTGAATTCGGATGATAGCATGGTACTACACTAATGTTAAACTGTCAGGTTTTCTTTATGCCTCTTTGGTTATATCAGAGAACTTCTGTAGTCACAGGAGAACTGTTTCCAAACAATTTAGGGTATATGAAATGTAAACCTTATTTACTAAGTGTTCAATAACAATTTAAATAAAAATTAGTAATAGATTGACTTGGAAAAATGTGGCAAAATGTATAGGTTAGAAATATGAGTTCATTTTATCATTCACAAAACATTTTTGCCACCACCACCCCAAAATGTCCTAGAGAAAGACATTGTAGTAAGGCTATTTCATAAATGAATTTAGCTTTTCTGCTGTTTTGTTCAATGAAAACACTTTATTATGTTAACCAAAATTTATCTTTAAAGATTTCATATTTACCACAAAACTTAGCTAAAATGAATAGTCTATTTCAATAGTGAAAGTCAGAATACTTTTAAATAATAGTTTTATTTTCAAATATACAGAAAAGCTAAAAAAGCTAGTTGAAATATTTTTAAAAAGAATTATCTATAATTAACATTTAATTGTAATTCACTGTTTTCTTCATTTTTATATATCCATTAAAGATGACAAACTTCCTCTCTTCTCAAATATCATAAACTGTGATTTAGCCAATAGGTTTTCAGTAAGGTTTTACAATACAGTGACATGTTAAATATAGGCTTCCTGTAGCCTTGAAAAGAATGTTCTAATCAAAATGCAAATAGTGTAAGGATTCTCTATAGTCAAAATTGTATTAGCAACAGTCCTTTATAAATTGGGTACCTTATTTATGAGATGTTCAGTAACAACTTCTCTTAGTCCAGTGTAGAGCTTTTCTCCATGTTTATGCAAAACCATTGTATATGCATTTCTATAGAGCTCCTCAAAACTAAGACCACTGTTATTCTTACGCTGGATTTCTTGAATTGCATTTTTCAGAAGGTCCCAAATGCTGTTTACGTATTTTTCATCCATGGTCATCTGCAATATCCAAGAAAGAGAAGGGAAAAAAAGTTGAGAATATTTATTTGTCCATGTCATAAATATTTTGACTATGACTACAAATCTATATGGTTTATAGAGACATTAACAACTATTTTATTTTAGCAAAATAAGAGATACATTTGAAGTTGCTTGAGCTAATAAACATTCTACATGATTTTTTCACCATATCCTCACTCGACTGCTTCCTGTTGCACTGAAAAATAGAAACTAAGAGGCACTATACAACCTGACCATATCCATCAACGTTTTTGGTTCTATGCCAGCATAATCTGTTAATTCTTACACTACAAGTATAGTACAGGAACCAGAAGTAAACACCACAAATGCAGGATGCCAGGGCCCACCCCAGGCCTACAGAAACAACCTTAATTATAACACAAAGTCTAAGCAAACTGCACATGTCCAGTCAACTACTAAAGGATTTTTTTGACCTTTCTTATCATCACTGATTTTCTGTCTACTAAATCATTCCTATTTACATGTAAAACGATTATTTTCCACCTTAAAGTCAAATCTTCACAATCTTTCATAACTTATTTCCACTTACAATGAAATAATTAAATAGCAAAGGATTGGAATGGTCCTTCATATTCAGCGTCTCCAAATTCCATTTTTCTATTATATCTTTAGTCCACAACAATAAATATAACTTTCATCTCTAACATTTCACTAGAACTGTGAAAAAGTCAGTGACTCTTACGTACATAAATCTAACGGTCAAAGTTGCAGATCTCATTTTACTAGACTTACCCAGCAGTATTTTGAAAGAGCTCACCAATTATACTATTTAAAACAAAAACTTCACTTGTCTTCCAAGCACTATAGCCACTTATTTTTCTTCCCATTTCACTGCTTCTCACTTGTCACTTAGCTTCTGGTTCTTACCGCCATCTCTAACCCTAGACTCACGTTCTAGAGATCTCATTTATTTCTATGACTTACTCTCCAATTCCCTATATCCTAGCCTGACCTGTTTTTTTGAACACTAGTGGTAGGTATGTCAGCTGCCTACTCAATGTTCCTATAAGCATCTCAAACTCAAGTTTGAAAGACAAGTCCTAATCTTTTCCCCACACTCCACTTGTCCTGTAGTCTTTTCCAACTGAACAAATGCCTACTTCTTTCTTCCAGGTACTAAGTGTAAACATCATCTCTGGCTATTTCCTTACTCCAATTCCAACCCTAAATACACACAAATCTTATTCCCTACTTTCAAAATACAAGTAGAGAGCACAACCCTTCACAACAGTTCCATTAATAAATACAGTTGTGGTTATAAAAAAAAAAAAAACCACCATTTCAGCCAGGTGGTGGTGGCACACATCTTTAATCCCGCACTTGGGAGGCAGAGGCAGGTGGATCACTGTTGAGGCTAGCCTGATCTACAAAACGAGCTCCAAAGCTATAGAGAAACCCTACCTCAAAAAACAAAACAACAACAAAAAACGAGGAAAAAAAAAACAAAACAAAAACAAAGAAACAAGAAACCAACCACCATCTCTGAGATACTGAGATAGTTCTAAAACTAACCACCATCTCTCAGATAGTTCTAACAGCTACTTTACAATTCTTGGCCTGCTTCCAAAAACTGATCTCCTGAAAACAAATCAAATCATGTCACTTATCTGTTCACAAGCCTCAAATGACTTTTCATATCCCCTGGGGTTAAAGTCAAAAGCTTGCAAGGTTCTCCAACAAAGCCTTACTTGATCCCATTCTTCTGAACTTCATCCTTTCGCCCATGTTCACTGTGCTCTCTGCACACCTACTGCCCAACTGGAATACATAAATAAACTCAATTTAGTTTTTGTCTTTCTTGCCCTCTCTGGAATGTTTTCCCTCAGACATACATGGAATATCTCAAACCTTCCAAATGACTATGAACTGTTAAGTGGCCATCCTATTTACAATACCAGCCTCCACTCAGTACTGAACCCCAAATCTAGCCATACTATTTTTCTTTTTCATGTTAGCTTCATGAAGGTAAAATGTTTGAAATAGCCCCTAAATAAATAACACTTGGCACATAACAGGTATTTGTAGTTGCTGATACTTGACCAAACCCTTTTGCATTCCACACATCTACTCAGTTAAATAGGGCGATGATTAGAGCCAGAGGACAAACAAGTTACTTCTAGTGATTACTACAGCAAAAATATTAACAATCAAGCAAGTAAAAATAAACACAAAATTATACAGCTTACCCCAAGTCACCAAACAGTACAGGATTCAAACTACTGGACTCATCTCACATTTCACATGTCAAGTAAATCAGACACCAAGTCACTGATTATCTATGCTACACTAGTGAAGAACATAGGTTTTGAAGTCCGGGGGTGGGTGTCCTTAATTAGTATTATGGTTTTCTCACTGTCAAGCCACAGACCTTAAACAAATAATTTAACTCCTTTATAACTTGATTTTCTCATTTCAAAAATAGATCTAAGAACATTATTTATCTTGATCTGATTCTTACATGATTTCAAACCCAGTTTAGGTACCATGCTCTCCCAAATTTTATTCCTGGCCACACCAAAACTGGGCATTCTTTATATCATTCCTTCAGATCATTGTAGTGATCTATCTACTATTACAATCCCATATACCATATTTCTTTGTAACTATTATTTCATTCCACTTCTTCCACTGGACCGTAAGAATACTGAGGGGCCTATCTTTTGCTTCAATGTACTTTAGTGGTAGTAAACCAATGACTGACAAATAAAGGCTACTTTAACCACTATTACACGAATGAATTCTGAGAAAGCGAACCAGTAGTAGACACTAGGATAATGGAAGAACATTAAACATGCTTATCTGCAGCAATCTAATTTTTAAAATATTCAAATGTCATTTTAAAACACAAATAAGGAATAGTGTGGGGCAAACAACAGGCTCTAAAATTTCCTATCAGGCACTATTTTCATATTTACTTGTTTATCTTACCAATTATCAGACTCCAGAAATCTACTTAACCAGTGCTTTCATTATTAAGTGTTAGCTGGGAAGAATTAGTGGACTGAATAAGCCATTCAGGAAAGGATCATAAGAACAATACAACAAATGAAACAGACAGTCGCTATAGATTCCTCCATTTTTTTGGTCCTGGCATTAAACACATCAACCCTGGTAAAATAAATTTACCAGTAAGTTTTAGCTTTCACTCAATACTTATTTCATCAACCTTAACCAGGAACATTAGGCTACACTTTACACAGGATGTGAAAAAAAAAAAAAATCTTAAGGTTCTAATCTATGTACATTAAAAAAAAAAAAAAAAAAAAAAAAAAAAAACCCTTTAAAGTTAACAACCTAAACTATCTGAGAATTTGAGGAATCCCATTCATAACATTTGTATGCTTAAATTTCCCACAACTACAAATAAACTCAGGAATTTTTCACAACCAAGGCTTTAGGGGGACAATACACATGCACGTGTGCACACACTATTCCACTTAATGTCTGTTATATAATTACAAATACATCTAGTGTCCCACCCCAAGAAGTTCAAGCTACAGAAATAAAATTCCTTCAACAAGAAAGAAAAGCTTATTTTTAAAGGAAAGATATAATTAGGTATATAATTATTCTTAAATAGTTTATATTTCCCTCATTAGGCAATAGCAATAAAAATTACTCTTTTTTTTTTTTTTTTTTTTTTAACTGTAATGCTAGCTGGGCCTGGGTGGCATATGCCTTAAATCCAAGGACATGGGAGGCAGAGGCAGGCAGATCTCTGTGAGTTTGAGTTCAGCCTGGTCTACAGAGCTAGTTCCACAACAGCTAGGGCTACAGCAGAGAAACCATGTCTCAAAAAACAAAAACTGCAATGGTCATCTATATTATTTCAAATGGCATGACCTCCAAAGGCCTGGTTTGAAAAGATGTCTATTACATATTTATACATCTTGAAGGTGCTGCAATTATTAAAAGCTTGAATAGAACTTCATTATGAAACAAGTTAAAACTAAGATGAAGAGAACTGTATTCTTTGCATCCTCTGTGCATAAAGTACAAAAAGTTTTCAGTCTCTTGTGAATAATATTCTACCAGAAATTTGCAACAGGGCACGTGCATGTGTGTACCTGAAATTCAAGCCATTCAGAATAGCCAGTATGTTATGTATGTATGTACGTACGTACATACGTACATGGGGAAATGTTTGAGCTTAGTTCTAAGCTTTAGCCTCAATGAGGCTTCCTTAGTATACTTAGAAATCACAGTAATCTTACCATTTACAATGGAAATATTAATTACTAAGGCACCTCCCACTTAGGCTACAAACACTTCTGACTAGTAAGGTGGTCTCTCCTTTGTTATTGTATGCCCAATAATATATATTCACATGGCATGATGACTAGGTGACATTAGCTAATATTGATAAAGGCTCCTACTTGATGGCAGGATTTAATGATATATAATATCAGCAATAACCTCATTTCTCTAGCATTAATCCCTTAAATAATGTCAATCATAAAAACATAGCCAAAGATCCAAGCTTTGAGACAAACAGCATAGTGGAAAGACACTGATTAAACAAGTTATTAAAATTTCCAAACTTGGCTTTCCTCATCTGTTTGTGGTGAAGAGATGGTGTACTGAATGCCAATTAAGAACATTTATGAAAGCACAAAGAACACAGCATTTGCCTAATAAATATAAATTTGTTTCTTCCTTTACTGAACAAGAGAGCATTGCTGAGTATAAAATCACTGATGTTTGCTTAAATGATTTTTAAAATAAAGACCATTTGGGAATAAGCGTGCTGCCAAGAAAAAAATTAAAATAAAACAAGAAAAATCACCTCAATAACTTATACCATGAAGAAAAAAAATAATCAAAGTACAGCAGCCTGGGACAATTCCACGAAAGTACAAAATAAGCCTATCTACAGCTAACTGGCCTCTAATATTAACTTATAGAACAGCTATACTTACAGTTTAAAAAAAAAAAAAGTTGAATCAATAGGAGGTTCA